CACGATCTGCTCCATGGCCATCAACTCATACTTGAACCACATGCCCTGGCAGCCAGCCAGSTGGTGGTAGAGTGAATAGTCCAGGTAAGCATTAATGATCTGAAATGGCAGCAGGGCAGGGGAGAGGGGAAAGCCTGAGGTGGTCCCCAGACCCAAGCCCAGGCACATCACCTGGCACCTGCCAGTGAACCACGGGTTATCAAGCCTGGGAATAAAGCTGGTCACCGGCCAAAGCCATGGGTTTCCAGAAATCAAACTGAGTTTCTACCACCTATTTGCTGGGGCATCGGAGGCAAGCCCCATGGCCCCTCTTGCCTACATCCCTTAAACAAAAGGCAAAATGTTTACTTTTTGTGAAACATAAAAGCAATAGCAAATGTAAGTAAATGATTGCACAACAGAAAGCCTGAAAATGTCTTTTAAAAGAGAATCACCCGTTAAGCTTCTCCCTTTTGCCCTCATTCTCTGGGTATATTGTGCAAGTTTCCAGAGTTAGCCTGTGTGAAGCTGCGCCAGAGTAAAGGCTGAAGCGGGTGTCAGAATCTAGTATCTTCTGTGAAACCAGACATTAAGCTATTTGCCAAATTTTAATACAATGTCGTTGTATTTTGTTTGTTTGGGGAAACAGAATTCTTTTAAAAAATAAAAATATTGCCAGGTGCAGTGGCACACCTGAAATCCMAGCAGCTCAGGAGGCTGAGGCAGGAGGACCCCAAGTTCAAAGCCAGCCTCAGCAACTTAGGAGACTGTAAACAACTTAGTGAGATCCCTCTCAAAATAAAAAATAAAATGGGCTRGTTTGTGGCTCAGTGGTAGAGTGTCCCTGGGTTCAATCCCTGGTACCAAAAGAAAGGAAAAAGAAGAATGTTAATATGTGTTTATGACTTTTATTTTAAAGTATTTTTGAATTGTCGCAGTTTTTATCAACAGATAACAACTCATAGAGAAAAGCCCTTGGGATCCTTGGTCATTTCTAAGAGTGTGAAGTTGGAGAAGGGCGGGGCACTCCGGGCCAGAGCTTCTCCAACCCCCTCGGGACTGAGAGCCGCTGGGAAGGCGCCCTACCTGGAAGTCGTTCTGCGTCTCCAGCGCGGAGTTCACCTGCATCACAGCCGCCAGGTGGCCGTAGAACTTGTAGTGGAAAAAGTAGTTGGAGCTGTAGATGCGCCACAGCAGGGAGAAGCAGGCGGTCTGCCGGTAGAGCTGGGCCAGCCTCTTCTTCCTGTGCAGCGCAGGGCGAGGGCGAGGGCGAGGGCGAGGGCGAGGGGTGAGGCCGCGGCGCCGAGCAGGCTCCGCGGGGCCCCGTGGGCAGCCCGGTCTGGGTGGGCGCTCGCTGGTTAGGGACACGCACGTCGTTCATCACGTTTGGGTCTGGAATGACCACCCTTCTAGCAGAGGAAGGAACGACGGACCCCAGCCCTGGACCAGCCACGCAGGCTCCCCGGGCCGGGAGCCAGGGCTCTGCTGCACGGAGCCCAGGACGCTCGGGACACCCTCGGTCCAGCAGTGGGACGCAGAGGGCCAAGGCTGCAGCACCCATGGGTCTCACCGACCAGAGAACGGGGGAGGGGAGGGGTGGAGACGCGGGTTAGAGCTGCGGGGTAGGACGGGAGAATCTGGGTCCTTTCCTT